ACTCAGGCAATTTTCACCGGGAGATAAAGTGCTTGCATTACTTCCTTATTCCAGCTCTAAATTACTCCCCAAGTGGCAAGAGCCCTTTGTGGTCACACAACGAGTGGGGGACGTTGATTATGAGGTAGTACGATGGGACAGGGACGGAGCCACGCAGATTTACCACCTCAACCTCTTCAAAGCCTGGAGGGAGGCGGAGACTGCTTCTCTGGAGAGCCTGGTAAGGGAGAGAGCTGAGTTGAGGCCGGAAGTGCCAAAATCTAACATCCCCACTTCCCTCCATTGTAGTGACCATCTTTCACAGGCCCAGAGGGCGGATGTTGCTGCATTGCAACAGCGCTTTGACGACGTGTTCTCCCCCTTACTCAGCCGTACTTCTCTCATAGAGCACCATTTTGAGATGCAGCCTGACGTGACGGTGCGTTCACGGCCCTACAGGCTGCCGGAACATAAAAGACAAATTGTGCTCCGGGAACTGAAGGAAATGCTGAGGTTGGGAGTAACAGAAGAGTCACACAGTGCTTGGTGTAGCCCCATTGTTCTTGTGGTGAAGAAAGATGGGTCTATACGGTTCTGTGTTGATTATCACAGGGTGAATTAGGTGTCACATTTCGATGCTTATCCCATGCCCCAGGTCAACAAGCTCCTGGACCGGTTGGGTACCGCTCGCTTTTTCACAACACTGGATTAACCAAGGGCTACTGGCAGATTCCCTTGTCAGCAGAGTCCAAGGAAAAGACAGCCTTCTCCACCCCGTACGGTTTATACCAATTTGTTACGCTTCCATTCGGCTTGTTCGGGGCCCCTGCCACCTTTCAGCGCCTCATGGACCGGGTGGTGCGGCCCCACGCTGCCTATGCTGCTGCCTATCTAGATGATGTCATCATCTACAGTGACACGTGGGCGGAGCATGTGTGGCGTGGGGCTGCGGTATTGGAGTCTCTGAGGCAGGCTCACGGCCAACCTGAAGAAGTGTGCGGTTGGGCGGAGGGAGGTACAGTATTTGGGGTACCACTTCGGGGGCAGGCAGGTGCAGCCTCAAGTGGAGAAGACGGCGGTGATTGCATCATGCCCGCGCCCCAAGACAAAAAAGGAGGTGAGTCAGTTTCTGGGGCAGGCCGGTGGTTCGTACCAGGGTTCGCGGACCTGACCAGCCATTTAACTAATCTCACCCACAAGGGTGCCCTGGATCTGGTCCAGTTGTGCCAGGCGGCGTTTGTGCAGGTGAAATGGGCTCTCTGTGGAGAGCTGCTGCTGTTCACGCCTAACTTCTCCCTCCCTTTTTGTCTGCAGAGGGCTGGGGGCCGTTTTGTCCCAGCAGGTAGGGGGAGCTGACCGGCCGGTCGTCTACATCAGCCGGAAGCTAGCGCAAGTCAAGGTATATTACCATGGAGAAGGAGTGCCTGGCGATCCGGTGGGCGGTCGACTCCCTTTGCTACTACCTCCTGGGATGCCCACTCACCCCCTGCTCAGACCATGTCCCGCTGCAGTGGCTCCACCATATAAAGGATGTCAATGCCCGGATCACTTGGTGGTATCTGACTCTGCAGCCCTTTAAGTACAACGTGATCCATAGGCCGGGCACGCAGATGGTCGTGGTCAATTTCCTCTCCCGCTCGAGCGGGGGGGGGGGGGGGGGGGGGGGGCAATAAGGTTTGGCCAGATGGCCCCGGCCCCAGTCGGGCGGTGGGGATGTGTGGCGTTGGTGTGGTCTCTGGCCGGCTGCAGATGAGGGGTGATGCAATGAGCTCCCAAGGCGGCGCAGGGGTGGGGTTGAACAGGTGTGCTGGGATGTGAGTGTGATGATGTCTCTTTATATGTTCACAGTGACAGTCGGAGGGAGAGAGCAGACGTGACAGCAGAGCGGGAGTGTCTGTGTCCCAGTATAACGAAAACCACATTATAATCACAGTTGAAAATAAAGTAGTGCTGTCAGTACGTTCGTGTCCTGCCTATGATTAACGGGTCCAATGTTACAGACACATTTATTTCATTTTTCAAATCTCCGTTTTCAAAAATACCCATGTACGTGTGGACGTAGCCTTGGTGTTGTTGAATGTTTCCCCGGTCATGTCTCTGTTTGTCTCTCTCACCCCTTGCCCTCCTTCCTCCCTTGCTCTCTCACCCTCTCTCATCATGCTCTTTCGTCCTGCTCTCTTGCCCTCTCTGACATCCCTCGCGCTCTATGTTCCCCGGGTTATGTCAGATCCTTTCTCAGTTTGTGTGTTCCTGTATTTCCTTTATCCCTTTAATAGTCTCTTGCCTGGTGTGCATCATATTCAGTTTTTATGTCCCCTGTCTTGTTTGTGAGATTGTGTCCAGCTGTGCTTCCCAGGTGTCTCCTCTTAGCCATGATTCCCTCGTTTGCCCTTGTGTGTATTTATGTCTGCATCTACCTCTGTCTTCAATCACAGTCTCCCTCATTCCCTGGCTGTGTGTTCCACCTGTTTATATAGTTTTCCTACGCATTCTAGTTTAGGCAAAACACCAAAAAAGCTGTTTTCGAGTTAAGTCCTGTGTATGAGTCTGCATTTTGGGCCCTCAATCCTGCCTGCTTCACACCACCAAATGACACTCTGTTTAAAAAAGTCTTATCTCTGATTCTATGTGTATTACTCAGCAAGCAGTGCAGAGTTTAAATGGCGCTGATGTGGGTGAGGGGACTTGCCCAGTTCTGGCTCCATCAAAGTCTGGGTTTTTTCCTTGCCTTCTCTGATAAGAGCTGGGGGCCTGAGTAGTGATTTTAAAATAGTTTAAACTTAAAAATCATGCCATTGCATTTTCTTCTTTTCAGTCTCATTCTTAATATAGAAAATTCCATTACATATGAACATTCAGTCACATATGATACCCTTTAATATAGAGTGTGTGAGCTGTATGTAGTGTAGTTCTCATTATACTTTTGAGTTAACAGAACATATTCACATATTAGTTCATTAGATAAATGTGCATCACTCTGTATCCTTGATCTGCTGGAATGTGTTACACTGTTTTCTTGACATGCTTAATTGTTGAATCATGAAGAGAAGGTTGTAAGCAGGAGACTCTGTGTCTAAAGACAGGGGAGATAGATAGACCACATTCCACACCCCCACCTTACAGAAAGCAGAGAAACAACTGCCGAGGTCATAACTTAGGCGCTGTAACAGAGAAAAATGTGATGTTTTGGCTTTTACGACTAGCTGGGGCCACTAGAGACTATAAAAAGCTGAGCAACCCGTCACCATTTTGAGACATGTGCCTGACCCTCTGGTAGCATCTCTCCCGTCCAGACGTTGTAATGCTCTGACTGTTGAATTGTATGGAAATAAATGATTGTTGATTGAGCATTGATACACCGAGTATTGTCCTTCCTTCAGCCCAAAGATTCAAAGAATTGGGAAAATTCAACGGTAGGCTTCACTTCATGTGTCATCCATTTTATGCTATTTTACTTCAATTTCATTAGTACATTCTTGTGTACTCATTCAGTTCAACAGTATCCCTTTTAAACCAAATACTTTCATATCTTTAAAACTCTGTGTTTGTCAATCACAATTTACTCAAAACAATTTCTTTTTACTAAATTGTACACCTTAAAAGTCAGAGACTCAGAAATCAGTGTGTGTGTCTGCTCTCTCTCATGCACTTCCTTACATGCACACACACACACACCTTTATCTTATCTCTACCTTACCTTATCTCTTTTGTTCAAGAACAAAGAATAAAGTTACTGTTATTAAAAGCACACAAAGAAACTCTATTATAGCACACTATAATCACATATAACAGTGGTCCCCAACCCCCGGGCCTCGGACCGGTACCGCTCCGTGAGTCGTTTGGTACCGGGCCACGAGAGTTGAGGCTCAGGTGTGAAATGTATAGTTTTCAGGGTTTTTATCAGTTTTCAGCGTTATTTTGTTATCGTTTTGATTGTTAACTCGGTTTTCCCGGGACTTTTCACGTGTGTTATGAATAAATCTTCTTTTTTAGGTACCGGTACTAGTTTTATTTTGTTGTATTTATCCGCGACACATTAAAAGCCGGTCCGTGAAAATATTGTCGGGCATAAACCGGTCCGTGGCGCAAAAAAGGTTGGAGACCACTAACATATAAGACTGGAGGTTGTGCCTTTTTACCCTATTTTGGACGTAATGAAATTTCAATCTCTCTATGTCCCAGTGATTAAAATACAATCAATATAATTTATTATACTTTTTATATACTAATATACTAATATATATATATATATATTTGCATTCAAATAATGAAATACTTTAGTAATGTCTAAATGACTAAAACAATTAAAAATAAATTCAATTTACTAATGCGTCCATTATTGCCCAATTCATTATTAAAGTGCAAAATGTTTTATTTGATAGATTTGACCATAATTACTCCATAATGAATAATGATTACAGTATTTAAGCTTATGATTTTTAGGTAGATCAACATTTACAAATACCAGAAAAGATATGTGTAACAATGACCATGGATAGCTGACTATAATGTGAGCCGCAGATACAGGATGGAATCATTGCCTTTATTAGTAAATACATGCGTTGCCTTTAACATTCACACCTTTAATTTTGATACATGCCCTGCAACAACTGCCTTACAGCAAGATTAGTTAAAATTTTTATTTTTAAATATTTTTAACAACAAAGATAGCATATTGACATGGAGCAATCCTGCATTACAGTAGTATTATGATGTTAGTGAACAAAATAAAACTAATGTTTTACTCAGTGCAACTTTTTCAGTGTTCATGTTGATTAAAATTTACAGGATTGTATGTGGAATCAATCCATCCATTTGCTTCTGCTTATCCTTTTCAGGGTCGCGGGGGCGCTGGAGCCTATCCCAGCTGTCATAGGGTGAGAGGCAGGGTACACCCTGGACAGGTCGCCAGTCTGTCACAGGGCTAACACACAGGGACAGACAACCATTCTCGCTCATATTCACTCCTGCATTCACACCTATGGGCAATTTGGATTAACCAATTAACCTATCTCCACAGACTGCATGTCTTTGGATGGTGGGAGGAACAAATCGTTGTTGTCCTTATATTAATAAGTTAAAACTGTCAACATTTCATGATGAACAACGAGGCAGCAGGAGGACAGCTGCAGTTTAACAGCTTCAACTCACTGACAGGAAACAACATTAGAAACATCATCATCCTCAACTCATCTGCTGCACTGACACTGACACCTTCAACGGCAACACCTTCACTTTATCCCATGTATAAATGTATGGAAACATCCTGTGAGTGAAAGTGTGTGTGAATGTGTGTATGTGTGTGTTAGTATCAGGATCAGAGAACGACAGCTTTCCTCTGTTCCAGTCCAGATTCACTCTGATCCTCTGGAGCTTCTTCAGAACAGAGAGAGCAGTAACAGGAGCTGATGGTGAGCGTGCTGAGTATTTGCCTAAACTGAAACCGATTTTCCATATTCCAGATCTTATCAGTCCCTTCCTCTGCACAGACTCTGCTAACATCTTCTCCAACTTCAACATCCCAGCTGTGAGTCCCTGAGTTAAAGCCCTCAGAGCCCAGGATAGAGCAGTATGAATCAAACCTCTCTGGATTATCAGGAAGCTGCTGCCTCTCTCCTCCTCGTCTCACACTGGTCAGATCTTCAGACAGGATGAGTTGTGGATGAGCAGTGTTTGGGTCCAGAATGAGAGGAGTGTAGGAGACCATGTCCTTCTTATTATTCCAGATGTTGAAGGTCAGGTTGCCCAGGTGTTTGGCCTGGTCTATCAGAGCTCCTGAGGGCAGCTGTGGATCATCCAGCAGGGGGCAGCGCTGGACTCTTTCCACTGCAGCCTTGTAGTTGTGCAGGAATGAGACGTCTTCAGCTCTCAGCTCCTCCTCTGTGGCTCTGACTATGTCTGAAAGAGCTGCTATCTCTCTGCTCAGAGCCTCCATCTTCTCCTTCATCATCCCACTCTTCTGCTCCTCTTCCTCCCTCAGTGCTGCCAGCCTGGCCTCCTCTTCCTCTGCTAGAAACTGGTGAAGCTTCTTAAACTGCTCCTTAATCTGCCTCTCTGTGTGTCGGGCCTGGACCTTAATGTGTTCTGCTGTTTGATCAAACTTCACTTGAACTTCTTCACAAACCTTTAACTTCTTCTTTAAGGGCTCCAGAGTTTCCTGAAGTTCCTTCTTGTGTTGTTGTGCAGCTTCATCGATGGGTCTGAATCTGTGATTGGTGTGTTTTTCTGAGCCACAGCAGACGACACACACTGGCTGCTGATGGTCCAGACAGAAGAGTTTGAGTTTCTCAGAGTGCAGACTGCAGAGAGCCTCTGAAGCTCTCTCCTGTAAGAACGACTCACACAGGTTCTTTAAAGCCAGATTTAAAGGTGGATCATTCACTGATATTTCCTTACAAACTGGACACTCGTGTGTTGGTCTCTCTCTCCACCATCTCTTCAGACAGTCTTTACAGAAGCTGTGGCTACATGACAGAAGAACAGGATCTCTGAAGACCTCCTGACAGACCGGACAGCAGAGATCCTCCTCTGATCTGGAAGCCATTGAGTCTGTGAGTGAAGCTGAAAACAGCAGACAGGAAGTACAGTCAGTCCTGGCTCCCCTCCCTCCTCTACCACCTTCACTGAAACTTGCTTTGAGTCGTGTTTTTGCTCAAACTCACATTCAGTGTGTGGAGCGTCAGCAGCTTGAAGCAGCAGTGTTGGAGTTTTCCACGTTTCTCTCCTGTAGCTGGACTCACTCAGAGGAAGCTGCTAGTTTGGTCTGAGCTCAGTCTGATCGTCTGTGCGTCTCTCTTTACCGATGAAAAAGAACAGCTTGTTTCCTGGTTTGTCGCAGTTTACTGATGTCAGGGGCGGAGCTCTTTTCACCTCCCTTGGCTGTCAAGAGTTTTGCTTCAGCCATAAATAAAGGTGTGTTTCATCACAGAGTTCACTTGTTTACCTAACAGCAGCTGTAAAACAGTTCAAAGCATTAAGCTCAGAAAATAATGTGTCACTTCATGTAGTTGTTTGGGAGGCTTTATTTTGAAAGTGCTTTATCCTGCCTCAATATTTGGCAGATTCTCTAGCTGCTGGTGTGTAATACAAACACAGGGGATTTCATGTGTTTACTGGGATGCAAATTCTTCTTCTACCTTGTGGGATTATAATATTATTTTATGCCATGTTAGAGCCCTAATTAAAGATTGTGAATTATTATGTAGTTTTAGTTTGCATTATTCTCCTGAATTAGAAGAAGCTGATAACTATTGCATTTGTTAAACTGATTTGCATTACATTAGACTGCTGATTTATTGTGAATGAATGATATTGTTTTATGATGCAATATACTGCTGAGTTATAAGAAATACTGTTTGCAGAAAGTCATCGCCTTATTTGTCTGATTAGAAGAGAACAGAACATACTGGAGTTTTCTGCCCCATCTCAGCAGGAGCAGAGAAACAGGGAGCCAAGGTCGTAGCTTAGGCGCCGTGTGAGAGAAAGAATGTGAATGTTTAGGCTTTTATGATAAGGTGGGGGCCACTAGAGGCTATACGAGTTTGAGCAATGCTCCACCATTTTGATATCTGAGGCTGTCTGCATCAGTGTTTATCTCCCACGCGTGTGATCATTAAAATCATTGTTTGACTCAACCCGGCCGGACCAGTGTTGTTATTGTGGTGTTTCCTCCTGTATCCATCCCCAATATTTGAATCCGTAACAACCTTTAACTCTCACAGACCCAGTTTCCCTTTACTGGGTCTGCAAATGTATAGACATAGTATATTGTTACACATTTGTACAGTCTCACACAGCTCTTGATAGGCGCACTGCATTATGGTTAGGGGCCGAGCTTGTTTACTCCTGCTAGAGCTGCTCTTTTATTGAGAGACTCCTTCTTGTGGTGTAAAGGAGGGATAACTACCTTTCCAGCACTTTGTCTTATTGGAGACTGGGGCACACATTATTTTACAACAACCAAAGAAAATAACATATTTGAACAATATGAACATTTCAACCAAATATTATATTGTAACTAAAAGATTGTGGGGGTGGGGGTGTCTTGTTTTTGTCCTTAATGCCTCTCTTGTCCTTACATATGTATACTTATCAGTATCTTGGAGTAAAATTGTTAATTGCTCATATTATTTATATCCAGCAACTACAAATTCAAAGTTTAAGTAAAACATGATAGTAGTAATTTACTATTAGTGTGCGTGAAGAGCGTACAGCCTCACAGGAAATCTTTCATTTCTGCACATTTCTGCGGTTAATGGACACAAACTCACAGCGGAGCCACCTGGAACATTTGCTGGTAAGTGGACTGAGAGCAAACTGTTAATGTAATGTTAACCATGTGTCACCCACTCTGTAACTTTCTCAAGAACTAAAGTTCCATAGTACCTGAACTTTCATTCTTTTTTTTTTTCTTTTTTTTTGCCTGTCCCATTTGGTTCTTTAGCCGTCAGAATTGTTGTCTGAAGACCAACAAGGATACCCAATGGATTTACTTTGCCAAATGGATCATTGTGGCATTGCCGTATTGGTCCATTTGATCGACCTTTGTTTTTATTATTTATTATATTTTATTTTCAGATGTTACAGACGGGACAGACATGAGTGAGGGATAGGAAAGGGAGAGAGAAAGAGGAAGGAAAAGAAAAACAGAAGGGGAGAGGGACAGTGAGAAAGGGGGGGAGAAAAAAAATCTCCTGGATCACCTGTTGAGAGAAGAAGAATAGAAAACAAGCAAAAAAAAAAAAAACTAAACCAACATACTAGACACAACACCATCGCATTAATCTAGCTAAGTGTAAACAGCAGTAAATACTAAATATTCAATGTTGTTGTGCAGCACGCAGGACAGACAGCGCACAATGTACTTTCATTCTTAAGCCGTTTGCCCATTGTCAGTACCAGTCAGAGTGCCTTATTTTATTTTTTTATTTGAGACTATTAAAAGAAACATAACTCGAAGTTAATACTTTGTCCTACAATTTGATTTGTAATAAGCATATTTTTTCTCAGTAGTGAGTATGTTGCAGAATGTCTCTGTGTGTTCAGCCTTTTTTTCTGTTTATATCTTTTGTCATCATGGAACAACCTGTTCATTGGAGACAACGGTGCTTTTGCCTATCAATACAAATAATAAAAAGGTTGTTCCATGTTCTTTTGTATGCATGAAATCCATTAACTAGTCACCAGAGATGGGCAGTAACGTGTTACAAGTAACGCGTTACTGTAATGCAATTACTTTTTTCAAGCAACGAGTAAAGTAAGGGATTACTATTGCAAAAAAGGTCATTAGATTAAATTGGTACACCCCAAATCTCCACCATGAAAAGAAAAAACAAAACTGATAGTTACTGCTTTACTGCGTTACTAAAACCGTTAATTTAATGTTATTAATGTAATTTAATGTAAAATAATGTTGTACTACGTGATTGCTAGTGACACAGCTATGTTAGCATAACATTAGCACAGTGAAGCTGGAGGATGAACGCCAACTTTTTTATCCACTCGATAAAAGTTAACGTGAGGGATTCTTGTGGTCAGGGACAAATGCAATCGCATAGCAGGATGCTATACACGGGGCAAACTTCAGTTAGGAAAGCAACTGACATTATTCATCCAGTCATTTGCTATGATTGTTGCCCGGCATAATTTGCAGATGATAATGGTTGTAGCCGCTGCGATGCTTTCGACAAAAACAGGCGCAGCTTGATGACATCATCAACATGCGCTATCGTAGGAGACCATGTCCTTCATGTTGTTCCAGATGTTGAAGGTCAGGTTGCCCAGGTGTTTGGCCTGGTCTATCAGAGCTCCTGAGGGCAGCTGTGGATCATCCAGCAGGGGCAGCGCTGGACTCTTTCCACTGCAGCCTTGTAGTTGTGCAGGAATGAGACGTCTTCAGCTCTCAGCTCCTCCTCTGTGGTTCTGACTGCGTCTGAAAGAGCTGCTATCTCTCTGCTCAGAGCCTCCATCTTCTCCTTCATCATCCCACTCTTCTGCTCCTCTTCCTCCCTCAGTGCAGCCAGCCTGGCCTCCTCTTCCTCTGCTAGAAACTGGTGAAGCTTCTTAAACTGCTCCTTAATCTGCCTCTCTGTGTGTCGGGCCTGGACCTTAATGTGTTCTGCTGTTTGATCAAACTTCACTTGAACTTCTTCACAAACCTTTAACTTCTTCTTTAAGGGCTCCAGAGTTTCCTGAAATTCCTTTTTGTGTTGTTGTGCAGCTTCAGCAATGGGTCTGAATCTGTGCTTGGTGTGTTTTTCTGAGTCTCTACAGACGAGACACACTGGCTGCTGATGGTCCAGACAGAAGAGTCTGAGTTTCTCAGAGTGCAGACTGCAGAGAGCCTCTGGTGTTCTCTGATCTCTATCCTGTAAGAATGACTCACACAAGTTCTTTAAAGCTCGGTTTAAAGGTGGTTCTTCCCTTGAAGATCTTCTTTTACAAATTGGACAGTGTTGTGTTGGTCTCTCTCTCCACCATCTATTCAGACAGTCTTTACAGAAGCTGTGGCTACATGACAGAATAACAGGATCTCTGAAGACCTGCTGACAGACCGGACAGCAGAGATCCTCCTCTGATCTGGAAGCCATTGAGTCTGTGAGTGAAGCTGAAAACAGCAGACAGGAAGTACAGTCAGTCCTGGATCCCCTCGCTCCTCTACTACCTTCACTGAAACTTCCTTTAAATTGTGTTTTTGCTCAAACTCACATTCAGTGTGTGGAGCGTCAGCAGCTTGAAGCAGCAGTGTTGGAGTTTTCCACTTTTCTCTCCTGTAGCTGGTCTCACTCAGTGGAAGCTGCTAGTTTGCTCTGAACTCAGTCTGATTGTGTGTGTGTTTCTCTTTACCCAGGAAGTTGAACAACCTGTTTTCTCATTTCTCGTAAGGTGAGTGACATAAGGGGTGGGGCTTCATTCACCTTCATTTTACCTTCCTTCCTTCCTTACCCAGGAAGTTGAACAACCTGTTTTCTCATTTCTCTTAGGTGAGTGACATAAGGGGCGGAGCTTCATTCACCTTCATTTTACCTTCCTTCCTTCCTTACCCAGGAAGTTGAACAACCTGTTTTCTCGTTTCTCTTAGGTGAGTGACATAAGGGGCGGAGTTTCATTCACCTTCCTTTTACAAAGCTGTTGCATCACCTGAGTTCTGCCAGTGAGGAAGTCCAACACCCATGCACACAGGTGACTGTTGAGTCCTAGATACTTCAGCTTTGTGAACAGTCTGCCGGGCACTATTGTGTTGAACGCTGAAGTGTAATCAACAAACACCAATCTCACATAGTTACCCTATTTCTTGTCCATGTGACTTAAGGTGGTGTGCAGGACATGGGCAATGGCATCCTCTGTGGTTCTGTTGGGATGGTAAGCAAACTGGAGCCAATCTGTTGTGTTTGCAATGGTGGAGAAGATGATATTCTTCAACAGCCTCTTGAACACCTTCATAACCACTGAGGTCAGTGCAACTCGCCGGTAGTCATTCAGGCATGAGGGCGTGTTGTACTACTGGTTCTACTGGTGGTGGTCAGAGGGCCCGGTGGCGCCAGAGGACACTCCGTAGGATGCCTTCTCCAAGTCCACAAAACAAATAAATCTGTACATAAATGTGTTGCTAGCTGTTGGTGGTTAAACTCCAAGCTAGGGGCTAATTTTAAATGGCTGGGCCCTGGGCTAGAATCTAATATTGGGTGTGGCTGGCTAAGCTCTAGACTGGGAACTGCTATGGCAGGGTTTGACTGAGTTCTAGTCTGGAGACTATGGGGGAGTCTGTTTGACACTTTGATTGGGGTGCTGATA